GATGTTTCCAAGATTTCCACACGAAGCCAACATTCTGTTAGACGACGCAGGTGGGAAGAGAGACAACTTATAAAGCTGGTGACCAAAAATCATGTAAGTAGAAAAAGAATTTATAACTTAAAATTAGATTTTAAAAAGCCGGCTGCACACGTGAACTGCACGACGACATATGGCGTCATTTGTCCCCTTGACTTTATTTTAATGATGCCATATGGCGTCGCTCGGCTCTTAAAGGTTAATGAAAGTTCTTGATCCATAGTTGCATAAAACACAACTTTTACCAATCAGGAAACACAGTATGTAGGACATTCTAAATAAATGAACCAGATAGTACAGTATAAAATAAAATAGGAATAGCAAACCCGCTACCAGCCACTTCTCTTAATCATTAATGCATGTGCATATCCTAGCAAATGCTTGGATACATATCCTGCACACATGCAATCTAAATCTGTTAACAAATAATCATTAAAACAACCGATTTTGATTACATTTGGCGTTTTGAATTTTGTGTTTAGAAGAATTTTAATATTTATCACAAATTTCCATAAGGGCAAATTTCTGGTTCATATTACGAAATTTTTGGTCAAGCTTCATAATGTCCATAAAGACAAAATTTCATAACTCAAATATCTGTAAATATAGGAGCACACAACACCCTGAATCGGAATCAGTTTGGTTAATCAGGTTTGACAAAAAGCTACTGATAGCCATTACAGGCACAAAAATTTGAAATACTACCATACTAGCTACCATGTGAGGTTATGTTCTTATACTAACCAAGTTTATGATCAACTCCAACACCACTATACTCTAGACACGCACTGAGTTCAGTACAGACAACGTCTGTGCCATCTGGTAGCTTGCAGGCCTTTGTATCCAAACTCAGCTGCTTTGATTCATCACGGAATGTAACAGTTGCATCGAGCTTCACAACTGGACGGGCCCTAACATATGAAGAAATCGTAAGTGCAGGGTCATTTAAGCATAACACAGAGCATTTCTGAGGCCCTTCAATATGTATAAGGACGTTAGCATTAGAATAAACTTTAAATCAGCAACCAAGTTCCCTAAGAACTAGAATAAACTATCAGCATACCCAAGGAATAATATATATAGCAAACAAACTCCATGGCTTTAGTCCAGAAGTGAACTATACTGACCAACCGACAGCCGGTTGTCGGCGAAGATTTTGCCAACTTTAGTGGATAGAGGGTGTCACGTGGTCAGTGCAACAAATCCCCGTCGTCATTAATTTCGGTTTTCTAGACCAGAGCTGCTAATTATTTGAAAGAGCTCCTCAATTATTCTCATGAGGCTGAGTGAATCCCGTTCCAGACCCACTACTTCTCAGATAATCTGGTAGCACCGGGAATCGAGCCAGGGACCTCTGGATCTGTAGCCAGGAACTCTGACCACTAGACCACATCTTAAATTTGATTTTAATAATTTAAATAATAGTTTTAATTAATTAATTTTAACTTTAACTTTGAGGATCCTGTAACAAGTTCAATATCAAAACAATGAACACCCCTACAATATGGATCCTTATAAGTATAAGTTTGGCACTTCAGATGAAGTGTCACCTGATGGTGACACATTTGGGGTCGAAACATGTTGTACCTCAGATATGTGACTTTCATGTAAATAAGTAATCTGTGTACCTTCTATAAACTGTTTTGTTGACTGAAGTACAAAATAAACATTTTTATAACTTCAAAGCAGTACCTGAGGTAGACTGCAGTATCAGCCTCATATGCACCAACCACTAGATCTGGATACTCATTTTCATCCAGGTCCATTCCTCCAGCCACAGAGAACCCAAACGTGGAAAGCGTACTGACAACATCTTCTGCCTGGATCACTTGTGATGGCTTCTCCATTATGCCCTTGCCCGAACCATGGAAAATATAAACCGCTCCACGGCCTTCTGGACCATCATATGGGGCACCAACTGCAATATCTATAAAACAAAAAAATGTACAGCTTTAGTGGTAGGGGGACTAGGCTATGGGCTGGACAATTGAGGGTTCAAATCCTGGCAAGGGCAACACATTTTCTCTTCCCCATAATGTCCAAAATGACTATGGGACCCATCCAATCTCTCATCCAGTGGGCATGGTGTGAAAATGACTACTCACCACCACCTAGTGTTGAGATTATGAATAATATACACCTACTTCTCAGTTAATGGTCATGGCATGGTGCTTATTTATATTGCTATGCTGTCACTTCCCTGCATATTTCATGGTGTTGTGCTTATTTATATTGCTATGTTGTCATTTCCCTGCATATTTCATGGTGTTGTGCTTATTTATATTGCTATGCTGTCACTTCCCTGCATATTTCATGGTGTTGTGCTTATTTATATTGCTATGCTGTCACTTCCCTGCATATTTCATGGTGTTGTGCTTATTTATATTGCTATGCTGTCACTTCCCTGCATATTTCATGGTGTTGTGCTTATTTATATTGCTATGCTGTCACTTCCCTGCATATTTCATGGTGTTGTGCTTATTTATATTGCTATGCTGTCACTTCCCTGCATATTTCATGGTGTTGTGCTTATTTATATTGCTATGCTGTCACTTCCCTGCATATTTCATGGTGTTGTGCTTATTTATATTGCTATGCTGTCACTTCCCTGCATATTTCATGGTGTTGTGCTTATTTATATTGCTATGCTGTCACTTCCCTGCATATTTCATGGTGTTGTGCTTATTTATATTGCTATGCTGTCACTTCCCTGCATATTTCATGGTGTTGTGCTTATTTATATTGCTATGCTGTCACTTCCCTGCATATTTCATGGTGTTGTGCTTATTTATATTGCTATGCTGTCACTTCCCTGCATATTTCATGGTGTTGTGCTTATTTATATTGCTATGCTGTCACTTCCCTGCATATTTCATGGTGTTGTGCTTATTTATATTGCTATGCTGTCACTTCCCTGCATATTTCATGGTGTTGTGCTTATTTATATTGCTATACTGTCACTTCCCTGCATATTTCATGGTGTTGTGCTTATTTATATTGCTATGCCTCCAATCCCTTACACTTCTCCACAGCATAGTGCTTAATTAAACACAAGGACAACTTTTGCACATGCACAGTTCCTTTACAGATACTGCATGTGCCTGAAACTGAAGGTAGACTTCATTTTGAATTAAGAATAATGGGTGAGATTTCTGATCAGAAGCATGCAAGTAAGAACTCTGCAGCCTTCTTGATTCTGGGAGTTTTTTCTTGTTACATAAGCAAAACTATATTGTTTTATAATGTTCCTTCATAAAAGGGCATTGGTGATACCAAGACATTTCTGCATTTCCTGATTTCTAGACTCTTGATTGATATTGTAATAGATTGGGCCATTTCTAGGAGATGAATAGGTAAATATATTCCAACCAATGTGCATCCAACAATAAAAGGTCGTCTGTTGCTTTACAGAGCAGATCATGCCTAACTTACATATGTTATGATATGACTAAGTTGGCTAAGTTGTATCATAGGATATGTAAGTTAGGCATGATATGCTCTGTAAAGCCTGTACTGACAGAGGACTTGTGTGTAGTGCAAAAGGAAGAATTTTCAAGAACATGTTATATGTCCGAAATATACACTTGACGAAAGGTCAGGTGTATTCATAAGAGAAAAACCCATCTTCTCGTCAGAGAGGATGTTACATAAGGACTATTACCGCAAGAGTGCAGTTGGAAAAAATCTCTGGTTGCTGGCCTCAAGGGGCCTGACACCAAGACGAACTGATTGGTGGTAAACCTCCAGTTGTACAGTAACTTTGACTTTGACTTTGACTTCAAGAGGATTCGTCAGGAAGACTTTGTTCAAGGCAGTTCAGTAGTTGATGTGTTAACCTTGAGATTGATAAATTGATTGATAATTGTTGGTGTGTCATAGATACAGCAATCATGAAAGCATAACAACAAATTGTAGTTATGATGTGTGAAATTATTCAATAAATAGAGCTATCAAGTCCGGAACCCATTATTTACTGCTGCTTTACAAGGATACACATGACAATATTATTTACGATTCTACAATGAATAAATGAACACTGAAGTTTTCTTGATTCATTTCTGGGGTACTCTAATTCAAGTACTATTACTCAGAGTTAAAATATGTAGTATATAAGGTGAACTTTAATGAACCTCACAAAATGACTGTATTAAACTACCCTTACACACATAAACAAAACCTCATGATACTGGACACTCTACCTATTATAAACATCCAGGACTTTAGCATGGTTCCCAGCATTAAGAAAATCTGAAACAATAAATTCAGAAACTGACATTCAAAATGATTGTTCTGTTTTATATTGGTAGCTTTAAGTTCATCAGTACCTTTTTAAGTTAAAATGGCGCCATTGATAAAAAAACGTGAATTTTATTAAACTGAAACTATACAAATTTAGCCAAAAAGATGGACAGTACACAACTTGTAACATTTGCTTATGTGGAGATGTTTTCAGCAGTTTCACTAGCAATATGCAAACAGACACTGGTGGACTTGATGTGTACTATCTTCTGAGATGTGACACTGTGTAGTCTGGAAGTACTAGTTCACTGATATTTTTGAGAAATCTACTACCTTCATTTTCAGGATCAAAGATATATTATGCAAGCAACAAGCATTCAGCTACAAGTGAAATTCTAGCATACTACACAGTGACCTAACTCAGAAGACACTGGTAGCCTTCATAATTGCCATCTTAGGAACCTCAAATTCAATATTTCTGAATATTTCTTAACATTAAATGTATTTAAAACTATATTACTGCCTTTGCAGAACATTCTAAACATCTCCATACTTACCACCATAATTATCCTTGTTAATATCACCAAGAGTACTTAGCGATAAACCAAACCTCGATCTGGAATTTTTGCCATCCCGTTTATGGAACTCACGGAACCTCTTGTGGAACTGGATAAGATTAAAGCAAGATTACATTCTAGTCCTCATGTTTTCTCAGATTGAATTTGATGTGTGGATTTGGCTCAGGATGTGGTCTACTACTTCAAGCCAAAGCACACATTCAGATTCCATTGTCTACCTGTATCTTTAGTAATACACTTAGAGATAAGAAGACACCATCAGTTCTGTGTCACTGATCTGGAATTTTTGTGAATTGGAATTCCAAAAACTTGAAAATTAATATCAAAGAACAAGAAGATATTAAATTAGTCCCAGGGTTCTTTGTTTTTCCTAATATTTCATATGGCAGAATGCAGACAATATACAGAACCCATCAAAATTAAACCACCCAATGGACAAATTGATTGAGGTGGCCAACTGACAATTCTCACCATGGATTTTCAGGTTTGAGCCAACCAATTACATTTATCAGAAAATCATCACTGACTGGCATGCTGATATTACTGTCCACATGACATTCATTATGGGCATATACAGTGTGTAAAAACTTTCTCTTAAATGTATTATAACCTGAACTTTGTAAGCAATAAAACAATCTTGAACTCAGTTAGTTTTATTGAAATTTTGTCTACAGGTATGATGTTCAGACAGAAAACTGTTATTTTCAGTTTCCCGTAGATTGAATGATAAGTAAGAATCACTGTTCACTCTACTCCTGCTTTATTAAGACTCAGAAATTAGTCAAAGTCAAAGTCACATTGCGACTGATGGTCAGTCAGTCAGTAAGTCTTGGTGTCGAGCCCCATCTGGGGCTCATGACCAGATATTTATTACCGTTTGACAGTTACGGTCTTGATTTTGTGTGGCGCCCTCTCTGACAAGAGGACGGGTCTGTCTTTTATATATGCTGCTGGCCCTAGCCAGGGCAGTCTTTTTTGGGTCCAAGTCCCTTGGGACTCGTGACCTTATTTTACTATCTCAGAACTGAGACTTCCCTTTTCGTCACCTCTTACGACTCGCAGTTTCACGGTGGAGGTATTCAACCCTGCCTCCACACGGGGGACAGAAATTAGACACATAGACTCATACACACAGTAACCAGTAAGCAGTGATAAAATAGATTTCCTGTGTTACCCGCAATGAGTATCAAATACCTGTGATATAGGCATATAATAATTGTAGGTTGCTTGGTTATGAGTTTACAAGCATTATTTTTGTTATGGTAGCAGAGCGTGGTTTCGATCCACGGACCTCTGCTATCATAACAAAAATAAGGCTTGTAAACTCATAACCAAGCAACCTACAATTATTATATGCCTATATGACAGGTATTTCATACTCATTGCGGTTAACACAGGAAATCTATTTTATCACTACTTACTGGTTACTGTGTGTATGAGTCAACTGAACATGATGACTTCATTGGAATGGGACTGAGATAAGAGAACATGCACTTCTACCAAAAAGAAACAGAAAATATTATTCTGTGACACCATAAGTTCCTCAGTCTTTGCGAAGACTATGTCAAAGTAGCGTGATGAAAGTAGAATTACCTTGTACTAACTAACTCTAAAAACAAAAAAAGACTTCTTGGGACATCGTTAAAGATGTCACCAATACGAGACTTGTTAATAATTCAGTCCCAAGTATAAATATTGAGGGGGGTAAACTATGTAACAATGTACAAATAATAGCTGATACTATTACTAATTATTTTTCTGCCCCGGTACCTCAAACTCAACCTAGCTCATCTTCTAAGGTCGTGGATTCCTTAAACAATCTCTTCAAAGTATTTCAACATCCATTCCCTAATATAAATATGACTGCAATAACCACCAATCAAATTAGAGACATAATTAAGTCTTTAAAATCGAAGAGTTCACATGGATATGACGAGATTCCGCAAAATATTTTAAAAAGAAGCCTACCATTCATTCTGTCTCCATTAACTTATATATGTAATAAACTATTGAGCCTTGGTATTTTTCCAGATCACTTGAAGTATTCTCAAATTAATCCCATCTACAAAAAGGGTGACAGGTCTGATATTGTTAATTATATACCCATATCTTTGATGACATCCTTTCCCAAGATTTTTGAGAAAGCCATTTTTAACAGACTGCAATATCATATCAATGTAAATGAGATATTGGTGCAAGAACAATATGGTTTTCAAACCAAATCAACTACTGATATGGCTACCTTTACCTTCATAAATAATATCCTATTGGCACTTAATAACAAATTAGCTGTCAGAGGATTATTTTGTGATTTAACCAAGGCATTTGACTGTCAATCATGACAAAAAGCTTGCAAAATTGGAGTTTTATGGCATCAAAAGTATAGCAGGGAGGCTGATTAAATCTTACTTGACTGATAGATATCAAAGAACTTTAATAAATAATGATTATAGAAAAGGTGTTTCTGAATGGCAAAAGGTTAAACAGGGTGTTCCACAAGGTTCAATACTTGGGCCTTTGTTTTTTCTGTTGTATATCGATAATCTGCCTTATGTAGTAAATAAATCATTCATACCAATTTTGTATGTGGATGATACTAGTATACTGTGTTCAAATTCTAATTCCACAGATCTCAAAACTACCCTGAAAGTGATTCCACTAAAAATAAATGAGTGGTTTTCAAACAATTCACTAACGCTAAATTTAAGTAAAACCAATTGTGTCTACTTTGCAACAAAACTGAATCTGTTAAAAAAACTTAAATATAATATATAGTGATACTTTAATCCACAATGCTTGTAATGTCAAATTTCTTGGCCTAATCACTGATAGTGGCTGCGCCGTAGCTCAAGCGGTTAGTCTCTGGCTTCCCACCGCGGCGGCCCGGGTTCAATCCCGGGTCTGGTGAAGTTGGATTTGTGGTGGACAAAGTGGTGCTGGAGCAGGTTTTGTCCGAGTACTTCGGTTTCCCCTGCCAATCTTCATTCCACCAATTACTCCACAATCACTCTCACTATCATCTGGGGCTGGTACAATAGGCCAGAAATGGCCGCAGTGCAAGGAACACAGTCCCACAACATTAGCAATAAAAAAATCATTGACAGTACTTTATCCTGGAAAGATCATATTAATCAATTAGTAATTAAGCTGAGATTGACTGTCTATGCCACCAGAACTTCATCTTCCATTGTGTCCCAGGAGAGTCTACTGATGACCTATTATGCCTATGTACATTCCATTATGTCCTATGGAATTATATTTTGGGGTAATTTAATATTTAAAATGCTGAAAGTATTGTGATATGACGCGTCCTGTATTTTGATTTATGGAAAAATGAAATGAAGAAAGAAAGAAGGAAAGATAATTGGCCTAAGTGTGTAAATTTATAATGCATTTAATCGGTTAATTTAGGTAATTTAAATGAAACTGTTGGATGTTTAGTTTGTGTGTGTGCGTTTTTCTATGTTTGTGTACAGGTAGAGGCCTTGCGATGAGCTGATCACCCACCCAAGGAGTCCTACCGAATGTGTAAGATCTTGAAAAACCGAAGTGAATGGAGAAGTTCATGGAGGTAGGCCTAGGCCCACTGGGGCTGAAGTGCCAAGGAAAAAATTGAAACTGTATTAATTTTAATGTTTTATAGTAATGTTCTTTTTAAATTATGTATATTAATTACAATTGTATTAAGTTTTTATTTTTATTTTATTATCTATGTTAACTGACTAATGTATGTGATTTTAATTATGTAACTCATGTAATTTATTATATGTATCGGGACACATCTATTATCAGAGGTACTATTTCCACATCCTAGGTTTTGTACCTGTATGGATATATGGAAAATAAAGAAAGTGAATGAAGGAATATCAGGAATGGTGATTAAAAAACTCAAGTTATATACCTTGTAAACTTACTTCTTCATTTACCCTTGTAAACGAAGAAAAAACTACATGCATGTTGATGTCTGATCACCAGAATGCAGGCCAAAATCATGATATAAATAAGTTAATTAATCCTTTGAAAATTTGGGAAAGTTAAAATGTTTTGGAATGTCAAAAACAAATCGAAATTGCATTCATAAAGAAATTAAGAAATGATTAAATTTAGGGAATGCTTGCTACCACTCAGCACAGAATCTTTCGCCTTCCTATTTGCTATTTAAAAATGCAACAACAATTTTACCTGCTTTTTATGGGTGTGAAATCTGGAAATTTACTTACCTAAAAGGAAATTACAAAATGTTGAAGAAGGCATAATAGAAAGCTTCATAATTTGAACTTTGCATCAAGCACTAACAGAATCAACAAATCTCGGAGAATGAGGTGGTCAGGGCATGTGGTATGTGTGAAAAGATGAGAAATTATGCACTATGCCTAGAAGATTTAGTCATACATTGGAGGATAACACTAAACTAGACCTTAGATAAATGCTATCGTGTGTCAGAATGACTAAGATGTGGGTTTGGATTCGTGAATCGGTTTCTTGGATCATCACTAGTTGTAACTAGTTTAGTAACCTAGCAATGGACTGTGTTTGCAGAGCTGTTGCCTGGCAATGCGTTGATGAAATCTGTTACAACACAATAGCAGCGGCAGTGGCAGCAGCAGCAGCAGTAGTAGTAGTAGTAGTAGTGGTAGTAGTTTAAAAACACTCACATGTAAGCCTTGATAAAAGACATAAATCCGCCCAGTCTCATAATTTCCCTTGTTGTTTGACAGATCTGTGTACAGTGGCGCACCTATCACCAAGTCATCTCTTCCATCTCCATCCAGATCTGACACACACAATGCATAGCCAAAGTAGGAACCCAGCTGCTCTCCTGTCAGGTTCAAGTAATTTGTCAAATTCCATGTGTACAGAATAACCTGAAATAAAACACAGATTTCTAACCATAAAAAAGATAAGAATAGAGCACTTTATAATCAGAAATTGAGATACATGTTTTTCACCTGTGGATGATGATTATGTACTGTGATAGGGTTGTTTGCCAGTGTTTTAGACAACTTATTTGTCTTTGCTTTCAGGGTCCGAAATATAGTTAAAGTCTCCAAAATGTTTCCACAACAGACCACTACACGTCTTTTGTTCACCCAAAAATGAAAGCCCAAATCATGGTAGCTGACAGGTGATCAAGTGAAGCAAATGAGAAAGAAGTTATTCTTCCCTCCTGAATATTCTAGAACAATGAGTGAAAACATTCTTAAATAATGATCTCAATAAAAGTAGCACCCAGTGTAATATGTACGAAGTAGTTTATTTTACTGTATTTATATATTTTAGCCCGCTAGTAGAAGTAAAGCTATCCCTGTAACAGGCCGTGAAGGCTCATAGGGTTGTGAGATGTTGAGGGTCCCATATTATCTAGACAATTGGCTTAAAGATGGTGGCAAGGTTGTCATCCTTATGTGCCGGCCGCGCTTTACTCCCCAGGAAAATTATTTAATTAATTCCTGGTACCCATTTCTGTTAGAGGCTGAGTTAACCCCAGGTCCATAGTGCGGCTGGACAGATTAGCTCAATTGAAAAAATCCAATGATTTCATCGGGACTTGAACCTGTGACCTTCCAGCTTGTAGCATAGTGCTTCAACCAACTACGCTACCGTGTGCCCCCATATTTTAGCCCATATCTTCAGATAATATACATTAAAAGGAAATTTCTTAAAATTGCTGGCTGAATAAGACTCGCTCCATTCTGACTGGACTATAACTGGCTCCAGTCGGGTCTCTCTCTAATCTGCTCTGAACTATGACTGACTTTATTCTGATCTAAACAACCTCTTACATAGCGTATCAGTCTCCAAGGAAATGTTTGTTGATCACTCGTATTCATGGAACTGTGCTCCATAATGAGTTAGTTTCCAAGAATCAATCTCTATGGACATATGTTTGTTGATTCATACCCTAGCAATGGGTCTACATGTCACATTATACATAATTTTATAATACCCTCAACAAAACTACCCAGTATTAATAGTGTTTTATTATTACACAGCAGTGTCTCAGTCACCCTACTTCTGGATCATCTTCAAGTGGATAAATGCTTAAATATATATTATCTGAATCATCATACCATACATTTGACTGGAACATAGGTCCTTTCTTTACAAGAATTACCCAATTGGATATCTATCATAAGGAAAATTAAAAAGTGTACTACAAACAAAATAAAACTCCGTGATTTTAGTCAGCAAGCAAACTATACTGACCAAGCTACCACCGCTTGTCAGCGAAGATTTTAGTGCCAACTTTTGTGGATAGAGGATGTTGCATGGTCAGCGCAACGAGACCCCATGGCCGTTAACTTTGCTATCATCACCAGGCTGAGTGGACCCTGTTCCAGACCCACTACTTCTCAGAAAAAATCTGGTAGCGCCGGGAATCGAACCCAGACCTCTGGATCTGTAGTCAGGAACGCTGATCACTAGACCAAAGAGGCGGTCTTAAAAAGTGTACTTCATTCCAAAAAGTTAGGAAGAGGGTTTAAAGTCAAAACTCAAGTATAGCAACTGGTAATGAACACTTGTCAGCTATGTTATACCACAGATACAACAATGACAGTGAATCACAAAGTTCTTAACCAAATTAAAAAGAAATCAACAAGAAACCAACAATATAATACAAAATATGAATCATACATACATCTTACCTAAAGGTCACACATTATATAGAAATCAACAAGAAGCCAACAATATAATACAAAATATGAATCATACATACATCTTACCTAAAGGTCACACATTATATTATATTTAAATTCATCTTATTGCTTGCATAATCTCATATTATATATTTGTATGTTTTATTAATTGACCACATGACAGATATCCAATATTATATACTTATATATTGTGACATGTTGCGCAACGGAAAACCCCTTCCTACCCAGCAGCAAAGTGGCAACTCAGGCCACAGTGACGTGGCGGATGAGTCAGCGCTCCCCTCCCCCCTCTGCACGGTAACGTAACGCGCAACGCGCGGTGACATAAGACGGCATGAGGTAACAGCGTTGCTACATAACAGGCACACACAGCCACTATATAAGAGAGCTGTGCTGCCTGCGAGAAGAGTTGTAATGTGGCCATCGCCGAGTTCAGTTCCGAGTTAGTTCTGAGCAAGCCTACGAGCGAGTGTGTTATCAACAGTTCTCCAGTCAGCCGACTACAGTTGGAGTATAGCAGCCGTCGTGGAAAGAAGAACCGGACGTGTGTGTAATTGTGTAATTGGGAGTGTGTGATACAGTGATATATAGATCCCGTACTGTAAACGTATAGACTACTGAAGACAGAGTGAGCTGATTTGCGAATAGGGTTATAAATCGTGAAACCCTGCAACAGTGTTAACAGATCAATGCGATTAGGGTTATAAAGTGTGAAACCCCGCAACTGTGTGATAAGTAATTGTAGCCGTTACTTGTAGGTTGTTGAATAAACCAATTAACCATCTCTACGGCGTCTTCAGTAACAAAACACGTTACAATATTTTACTATTTGACCACATGACAGATATCCAATTGGATAATATACTTACGAACAGGTTATTCATGTTCTTTCAAATGTACTGCATGACAAGTCATAGAGTAAATATTTAAGCATTTGTCTGCCAGATGATGTCCCAGAAATAGGGCTAAAACCTGCTGTGAGCAATAACAGAGTACTATTAATACTAGGTGGTTATGCTGATGGTATTTTTGAATTATGAGGGTAGGATGATTACTGGAATAATGACAACAGTTAATTGGAAAGGATGTGGAAGGAAGTGAATGTAGCATAATTTGAGGAACTATAGAGGCATCTACCTGTAGGGGCAGAGGGAAGCTGACAAAGATTTGTCAAAAATGGCCAGTCTCAAGGCTGAGCTCTACTGAGAATTTCCTGATTATGAAGCAGCAGTGGTACTCACTTGACAGCGACATTTAGCTTTTGAAAGATATCATCCAATTGCAAATATTCTCACCAAAACTTTGAGGAATGAAGATAATAAATATTTTATATATATTTGGGAGATACCAACTGAAAGATATTTAATTATGGCTGTTCTTCAAAAGTACAGAAAAAACACTTAATATCAACACACATATATATACAAACTTATAAATTTCAATCATTTTGGGAAAGAGGTTGAATAGAGCACCTTGCCAAGAAGGCCTGCACCTCTAGGCATCCCAACTGCTGCCCCACTCCCACCACCATCACCAAAATCGCCAACAGCAACTGAGTAACCAAGGTAAGAGTCATCATCCAGAACAGAACCTTCTTTTGTGTTCACAACTGCTGGACGATTATTCAGACTTTGGGAGAACAACTGTCCTGGAAGAAAGCATACACATAGGCCACTAACTTTGTTTTACAAAATACTGCAAAGCAAGCAAATGGAGCTTGTCAATGTTGCACCTCCATTTAGTGCTGAGGTCAAGAATGCATGAAGCATTTCCTCTGTTCTCCTTGTTTGCCTTTATCAAATGGTTCCTTAGACATACAGGTAGGTATCAAACAATGGGAAGCAGATAATTCATTAATCCAATGGATTAGTAATGTAAAAAGGTATTTTATTTATTTGTTGGTAAAAGGAAAAGGGGCTTTTCTTAGTAGGTTATTCCTATTTTCTCTGGGATCATATATGAAGTTTCCCTGTATTTTCTGCATGTCTAATACACTCTTTTAGTGAACAAGGGGGTATGTTTTACATCATCTTTACCTTCTACAGTAATTATTAAAAAGTAAAGCCATCCTGTTCAGAAGCACTGCATCATGAAATTTCTGAACTTGATATATTTGAATCCATTTAGATTGTGTATTTTGCCTACTTGCTTACATATTTAAACAAAAATAATCAGATTTTAAGGACATTATTCAATGATGGGAATGTTAAATATATACTTTTAAATACAAGGTAATTCATAAGTCCCTCCAGGATTTGTATGTAAATTGTAATTGAAATCCAAGAGGGATTTATGAATTACCTCATTTCTCTGCACACTATTTACCTAGAGATATCTATAGTTGCATCAGTGAAATTAAAAGAAATATTTTTCACAAACTTAGACATACTTTCATATTTTCCTAACAGATCTGAATTCAGACAAAGATTAGGTTACATTTAATTTGGGTGATTCAATTCAGTTTTGGATCCAAAGTTCTCACAGCAGTGACTTTGAAGGATGCTATCTTCTGGGATGTAATACAGTGCAGTTTGGCAGAAGTTTATTGATGTTCCTTGCTTCACAGTTTATTGCTTAACTTAATTTTAGACCCTGAAGATGGAGGCAACATATCCATCTAATGAATTTCTGTTCCACTTCATAGCATTATGCCCAAGAAGATACTATGCTTAAATCAGTTTTGTGTTAAGTTAGAACTGAATAGGATCTAGGAAGCATAAATAAAACATAAATTTGGTTTTTGGCACAAGACATTGTGCAGGTGTGAAAAAAAATTCACACATATGACCATCATATTGTGAAGTTGTTGCCAGAATTCAGTTAATATAACATTTCAATAATATAAGAGCAAAAAGAATATTAAAATAATCTTACTTTAATAATAAAGCCATCAGTAAATGTTGCACACAATAACCCATATAACCAAGGATTAAACATCTAAAATTGGTTATGTGATATGTAGAAACATGTTATACTGCCAGATTAATGCAATATTTTTCAGTTAGATTTTGTAATTATCAATTATAACACAAACTCCCACCACCAATCTAATCAACTGATGACTTAACAAAATATAGGAGCCATCAGTAGTGGAAGAGCACCATTCAGTTCATATGTACACAGCCCATAATTGTGCAACCACACCATTAGTTTTTTCAGCAATGTACTAGTTGCATAGGTTTTTTTTCAGCAATTTACTAGTTGCATAGGTAGTCCAATTAATGACAAAATTCAGGATGCACTAATAAAGAATTTATAACTGTATTCTTTTTTTTTTTCCTTTGTGACTCTACAGTGTCATTCAAGCTCCAGACTCCTCTGCGTTCTACATGAGTGGGCAACAGGGTCCCATAAATAGGGAAATGGTTCAACATAAAACCTCCAACTTCACAAAAAATACAGAGACATTCAGAAAAATTTAGGCTGTGGTCTTCTAGCTTATGATACCATGCAATCTGGTAGGTGGTTCCTCCACAGTGTTGATAGCCATCAATCTGATTACAGGTGTCATAGCACAGAAGATGACAATCAAAATCTTCACTGCCATGAAGACTTAAAACCTCATGCAGAAAATATCCATGCCTCAGGAGGGGCAGAAGCCTGTCTCTGTTACCACTGCTCAAGTGACTGATAGCCATGTGTGTCTTTAGACTGCAACTGGAATCAGTAATTATGTTTTTACGTTCAAAATAAATTAACAATGAATTGTTTATTTGCTCACTGGTTTACTGAAACATACTGTTTATTCCACTTTAAACATTATGTAGTGTCAATGAGGCATGACAGAACTGTCATGAAGAGTGTACAGGCAAGAACATATGAATTTATACTAAGATACCAAAGCAATACTTTAGTGCAGGTACTGAAAAAGAATCATAAAAAGTCAGCTTTTTTGTGAGTCTTCTAGCCAAGATTTGATCTGAGGACCTGTGAACATCAAGCACGAGTTGTATCTACTACCCTGCGATGTTTGTTGATATTAGCCATTTTTGCAAATGGATTGGACAATTTCCAATGCACTGTGAATCAAATGCGAGGAGGGTCAGGTTCATTTTAAGTTTTAAGGTATGTGACAATGGTGTGTATTAAACTGACGTATATGTTGAACATTTTCCATCATCTCATTTTTGGCAGAAACAACAATTCAGAAGCTGAATTTGCTTCTGTCTTCAGATAAAAGTACAAAATCTGCTCTGCTGGGTCCATTAAATGAAGCTAATTCTTATCCCCAGACAATAACAGTAGGGCATATGAACCATAAAGATCAGAGTTTAGGAGCTGGATATCTCCAAATCTTCCATGACTGACCTCTGAAATAGTTACGTCAAAGGTTCAGTACCCCTGAGGATGACATTTTAAATGCTGAAACATGTTGAGGCAATGATGAATTTAAACCAGTTTCAAGAACTTGTGTTGTAAATCATTGCAATACAGTTCTTTTTAAGAAAAGCATTATAAATATGGGTATCACCTTGTATAATAAGGTCCCTGAGCAGATAAAATGGAAAAAAAAACTCTTAACATGACGGCATTTGTATTATTACATTTAGAAGTCTTTTAAGAAGGACTTAATATCCTTGCTGTTGAAACATTCCATTTATTCTACTGATGAATTTATGTACCTAAAATTTTGAAGTGAGTGTGTTATGGTTTCATGTTATGACAAATATCTTGTCCTCGCTTAATCTATAAAAGAAAATGTTGGATGAAGAAAGCAGTCTTCTGGGATTTGNAAATGTTGGATGTTGGGTTTTTTTGGTATTGAATTGTTGAAAGTGGGACAATGTATTGTATGATTGATTTGTATGAAATCTGTAGGTAATTAATTTTCATAGTATTGCTGACTCATGTATGATATGTATGTTATTTTAATATGTAGTAATTGACTTGTTCTATATCCAGAGGTTGTATCTCCAAATATGGATTCTCAGAACAAATTAACTGATTGATTGATTGTATGATTGTAATCAACTGCATTGTGATAATAAGCAATGCTATGATTACAACGATGCACAGCTCAACATAAAAATATATAATGGGCTGCTTATCCTTATTCAAAACTTATGATCTATACTAAAAGAATTTCCTAATTAGTAACAGTCTTGTGCATATCTGTATTGGCCCTCCTTTAAATTGCATGCTGCATGGTTTGGCAAACCTGCTGACCTGAGACATAAAACTTCCTTAATAAAACCATTTCAGTAATGTTTATGGGATTGCTGTTTGGTCTTTCACTACATCCATGAGTGATGCTTGGTATTAGGACACAAGGGGATTCCTAAATCATCCACTGGTTACTGGAAGTACACAGTTTCAATATTACTATATAACAATAGTAATATTAATGTCCATACATCATGTTATTATGTTATTTCTGCAATGAGTGCAAACACAGACACATAACAAGAAGGCATTCGTAAATGTCCATCAGTCTGCAGGTTTCCTTTCTAAAAACCACTCGGTGATTAATATTTTGTTATGAAGAAATGTAAACTAGAAGTCGGAAAGCAAATTTAATATTTTTTAAGGTGATCCACCTGTAACTGAAACTTATATGGAGTTACAATCAAGTCTTGCCACATTTAATAAAAAATGTCTCATTGTAAGTAGAATTCATGTCATAAAATACAGACCTCATTAAGATATATGATTTATGTTTGAAATATTTTTCAATATGATGTCTGTTTAACGAAATATATGAAAGAAGTCTTTTGTATTTCTATACAGAATTATATATCTGCTATTGATTAGCTCCATCAACAGTAAATACTTATGTGCAATCAATTAATGTAAAGAAATGAGAGATAACAAATGCAATAACTGATTGGATGTAAATGGGATTAACTGTATGTTATATTTTTTAATTTTAATTATGTTTATTACTTAGTATTATGTGATATTGTTTTATGATTAATGTTTAATGATTGTGACGAATGAACTTGGAGTAGTAAGAAGTAAAAGGTTGTATTTCTAACAGTGTATGAATCTATGTTGTTATGATATGGCTTGATTTAATGTTACACCATGTATCTTTTTATGTTTTGTATGAGATTGTATAAGTTTGACTAGCTCTATATCCTATGGGTGCTAAAGCCCCTGTACAGGATTTGTGGAGTTATTTAATAACAATAAACAATAAACAAAGGAACACACATTCTAAAGGTTATGACAATTGTAAATTTCTCTTAGGATTACAGGGTTTCTGGACTTTGTCCCTTGTCTAATATTTTTTCAAACAGAAAACAGTGTTTTTTGTGAACTGGGTTTATCCAATGACTGAGATTAACCTTCATCAATGAACTCAACTGAGTATGTGCCTGTCCACCTTCTTAAATGAGGATGGACACAAATCCAGTTTCCAAAAAGTCCAGAAACTCAGTAATCCCAAGCAAAGGAATATGTTTGAAACACGTTGTACTTCAAACTGCAGTACATCTTTCAACTTTTCTTCCTTAACTAACATGTTCTCCATTTCATTCACTTACAGTTTTTCACCTCATCCATCAAAGCATTAATTGTATCAAACCAAGTTCTCTCCTCAGTCGACATATTTACATAAACATCCTTGTACTACCTGAGTTCCCAGTTACTGCATGAATGTAGTTATTCAGCAAATAAACTGTTAGATGACCATTAGTTGTAATATAT